TAGCGGGTAAGGAGGTATCCAGATTCCAGAAGCAGAATAGCGGGGCGAGGTTCCCCCAGCAAAAGAGGATTGGATGAACTGGCAGAACGTGGATGGGTCCTTGTGTGTGGTTTTGTATTCGAACATTAGAAAAAACACGAGGGCCAAGCCCGCGGGGATAAGAAAAAAAAAAAAAAAAAAAAAAAAAAAAAGAAAGGTCGAGAGTTGAGACTCGAGACCCTTTTTCCATATTCCAGATCTCATTGTGCATAATCGGAGAGTAGCTGAGCGAGAGACCCTATTCCACGTTCTAACAGAAGATTCATTTTCATTTTGCACATTTGGATAGAGCAGTGGAGGGAGACCGTTTTCCATGTTCCAATGGAAGGTGCATTCCCATTTTGCACATTTGGAGAGTAGCGGAGAGAGACCCTGTGTACTCATCTTCATTACTTTTTTTAGCATCCTGCTTGCGTTTGGCATGCTATGAACTTGTATTTGAACATCCGGAGCCGCCAGCATCCGCAAAATGACAAAAACGGTTACATCCTTCCGCGCGAGGATTCCGGCTCCGGGCCTGAAAAACTTTTGGACCGGAATACGACGAAAACTGTTACATCCGTCTGCGCAGGCCCTACATCCTTTTCGGGGAACCTCGCTGGAAAAAGACGGAAAAAAAAAAACGAATCTACTGTGTTATGAACTTGTGATCCTGACCAATTTCGAGATACACATTCATCCGAGAGTATAGTGCCGTCCAATTGCAGAAAGAAATGAATGAACTTGAGAGGAGAGAGAGGGTAAGAAGAAGAAGAAGAAGAAGATGATGATGTACACCAGCAATGGCAAATGATAATGCTCTTCTTCTTCGCCAACCACTCTCCTCCTGCTTTACTCCTCTCTTATTCACGCAAGAAATAATAGTACAATGTTGAATGGCTGATCCAGAATCAATGTTCGAGTTCCTCTTCCACTGCAGGTATCACGTGAGGTCCACCATAGCCATGGCCGCCTCCCTCACTCTTCACTCTCATAGGCCGAGGCTATGGCGGACTACTGGGCCTTGGCCTGATGCCCAAAGGACAACCCAAAGCAGCTATGGCTGCTCCAGCTCAGGACGCCATGCCTGACTCTTCTTGGTGTAGCTCTACCCCAGCTGGGGTCTTCCTGCTGCAGCCCGCACCAAGGTGATGAACATGGCTGCCACCATAGCCAGGTAAGTACCTCTGGCGCTCCCCCTTCCTCCTGCTCCTTTTCGTCCTCCGTGTCCTTGCTCCTTCCCCAGCAGTGCTGCTCCGGCCAGCACTCCAACCAGTGTGTCGCCAAACTTGCACACCGACAATGAGGCTGGGCTCTTCGCCCGGCCTGGAGATATAGCGGCCTGCTTGCCTCTTGGGCGGTGACGTCCAGGCCGCTCGGCCTTCCCAGCAATCGGTACCTCCTCCGTTTCGGAGGGAAACATCATTGCAGACTCTGATATTGTCCGTACAGGCCCTAGACTCAGACTGGTTGGACTGGTACCCTCCTAGACCTAGCCTACAACTACTGGGCCTCTCAAAATGCCACTTTTGTCTTCTTCTGCTCGGCCTCCAGTACCCGCACATCTACGTCTTCAGGGTGCGATACCGGCCTACCTGCTACTTGAGTGTTTTTCCCCCGCTGCAATCCTCAATGTCGTGGCCACAGGTAAGTATCGGCCCTGAGGGCCCAACGAACGAACATGTGCCCTTGCGGGCCACACACAGACTCAAGCCAACTAGCACTCAGACAGACATGCAGTCCAGCAAGCGTGCACACACACAGACATGCAGTACTTAGTAGCAAGCGGGAAACTCAGCAAGGCATTCAGTCCGTGAGCAAAACTCAGAAGTCAACTGTGTCCCAGTATGTGTTTGGTCGGGTCATCACAACTGAGACAAAAAAAAAAAAGAATCTACTGAGTGCGCTGAACTGAAACAACGTTGAGACGGGGATAGCGTTAGGGACCTGCACATGGCATAGCTGCGCGCCTCCTTCGTCCGTGTTGATGGCCGACGGGACGGTCAGCCAGCATAGCTGAGGGTCAACAGGCAGGCGCAGAGCTGGACCCTCGATGCTTTGCGCGACAACTGACCAAGAAGAGACTGGGAGCGTAGCGGACAAGTGGCGGCCTGGCTCGCATAAGTAAGGGGGAGGGAAGAAGAGGGAGGGAGGGAGCACACCATCGTGTGGAATAGCTGTGTGTCCCCTTCTTCGTCTGGTGACCGGGGATGGGATCGCCCGTCGTCATAGTTGAGTGTTAACGGGCGGGCGTGGAGATGGTCAGCGATGCATCGCAGACCGATCGTGCTAAGTTGAAACAACATAGAGGTAGGGATGGGTTGCGGCAATTAGACAACTGAACATAGGGAAAACGAGGTGACGTACCGCGCTCATGGATGGTAAGGGAAGACGAGGGAGGGAGGGAACATAGGATTTAGGACAGGGGGAAGGGGGTAGGCTCCTTGAATGATGTTGATCGGAGGACATGACACCTGGGCTG